TTGGCAATGGATAAATAGTTGTCGATGAATGTGGCGGCGGTGCAAATCTGAAACATCAAAAAAAAAAGACTTGAAACACAAAAAACAATTGATCAACAAAACAAAATTACTTAAATCATCCGTTCTATCAGTAAACGCGTGTCGTGAAATTGTCGCAAAAACGACAATTGCTAAACTTCAGCTTGGCTCTCCCGGCGCCATACACGATTTGTGAAAAACTTTTCCTGCCAGTGGCGGGTATCTTTACCCCACCGTGGCAAAGAGCGTTGGATGCCGTAGATGGAGGTGGTAGGGGGAGAGGGGGGAAGATGGGAGGAGTAACGAGGGGTGCTGTATACGAGTTTCGGACGGGAGAGGGAGAAGGGTGGGTTCGAAGAAGGGGGAGGGGTTGAGTGGGTAGGTTGGATAGCTACAACAATCCCTTCCTTACCACTCAGTCCCAGTATACTGCGCTCCAAATTTCCAGTTTGTACCTCTCTTTTCTATTACATCTGTATATCTTTTTTCTCATAAGCATTCCAAGTGATTATTTTTTCTCAAGTACGGCACCTAGGACTCCTCCGGTCAATTTCAATCGTATTATGATAAATTCGAAAAATTTTTCGAATTCTTACGTCGGCAAATTGTGCTTCACTGCACTTGCTAGAGCACCATCGAATGCAATATAGTGCCGTATCACATGCCTTTCCAGCCAACCATCATCACGCAGTTTCGAGATTTGCGCCCACAGACAATCCAAATACTCCTCTTGCTCATTCTCTGTTGCTGACCAAACTTGCAATAACTGCAATGAAAAATCAAATAAAAAAAGTTACAGATCTGGCATTTTTTGAGAAAAATGAATAATACGACATAAAAGATAAACGCTATTGTCATGCAGTAGACGATGGGATCTACTCTGCCAGTGACAGTGGGATCTACATCATCTAAAATTAAAATTACAGTGAAACAAACAATTTTTTTACGGTTCGAACAATTCAAATACAGTCCAAGTGGTCGGCTTCGTTCAAATAAGGTAAAAAAAAAAGATCCTCCTGTCAAATTCGCCCACCATGTACTGATTGTTAAGCTGGTGAACTAGGTACCGTTACATGCTAGGGAATCGAAACTTCACCGTTTGACTTGGAAACAACCCTTGAAAGATAAACCTTGCCAGCGGGTAAACCCGCATATAACATTATGCGAATGCACGGCAATTATTAAAATTCAGCTTGGGCCGACATTATACACAGTTTGCGAAAAATTCCTCCAGGCGTTAGTGGGTAGGGCTACCCAGTGCGGGCAGCAGGAACATGGTAGGAGAATTCCGAACGATGAAGTTATCCTTCTTCTTGAACGATGAAATATCCTCCTGCCCGGAAGAGTATCGTACAAACAAATTTTAGAACAAGATTTTACGATTCGTTAAAATTTGAATCTGACCTTACCTTGACATAAGATGTATTCCTTTTCGCCATATATTTG